AAAAAAAAAAAAACTTGGCCTCTATATTGTCAGGCAGTATACCTCAAGCTTAAAGGCTCCCTCATGGGTCGCCAAAAGCTAGGTCTCAAAAAATGTAGCTCTCTCACGAGCAGTTCTCCAACTCTGTCTTTGCTCTTGCGCAAGCAGCCTACTTTTCCCTCTCCAGGTAATTATGTGAGATATTTTAATGTTTAGAATAACATTATTTTTGTCATCACAAGCAGGCTCTCCCGAGGCAGCCCCAGGCTCACCCAAGGCGCCCAGCACCTAGAGAAGGGCTTGATCATCAAGAGCAGCACCCAAAGCTTCCTTATTACTTGCAATGTCTAGCCCAGCGCCTAGAAGTGTGCCTGACTGCTGTTGCTCGTCAAAACAAAGTTGCCCAGTAGCTTGAAGGGTGTCTGTCCTTCAAAGTTGCGTAAAGCAGAATTTTCAGTGCAAAAATCAGCACCTAAGGGGCCCAAATCAGCGCCTTGNAAGCTGCGATAAAGAAGCCTTGAGGATATGTCATGATCTCCACAAGAATGATCTCTTAGCTACTATAAAATGGCTCTAATCTGGGAGAGGAAGGACACATGCTCCATCAGAGACTTACAGAAGACGAACCGACTACCGGAGATTATTATTTTCTTTGATTCTCCATTCCCCCTCTCAAAGCTTGTATCTCCATTCTCCATACATTTGAATCAATAAAATACCCGGCGACTGAAGCCATTGAAAAGTGGACGTAGGTCGAATTGACCGAACCACTATAAATTGTGTCTTCTCTAATTTTTTCGTTGATTTCATTGCATTTATTATCTATACTTGACAGGTGGTGTGCAAAACCATTTTTGTGCATCATCAAATTCAATTATGTTCACCTATATACTTTCATCTAATTTTTATTTTTTTTTATACATATTTGACTTTTAAATTGTTTTGGACTATTTTATAAGGACTTTTAAATTATTTTGAACTAATTTATTATTAGTATAGTTACATCCAGTTAAATTATTATATATATGTTATCCCTAATTATTATGATAAAGTTAATTATACCAATCTATGTATATTCATCTAATTTTTTTTAGTCTTATTTGAATTTCAATTTATTTTGAACTTTTTTATAAAGATTTCTAATTTCTTTTGAACTTATTTATTAGTAATACAGTTACATAAAATTATCTACATTTATATAAAGAACTAAAGTCATATATATATATATATTAAATTATTATACATATGTAATTATCAATTTGAATTCCACGGAAAAATATAGGTTATATTTTATTTTTTTGGTATGCAATAATATAATAATATTATAAGTAATCTAATCAATTTATTTAACAAAATAAAAATTAATAATTTTATAATATAATTAGATGTACAAATGTTTAAAGGGATCGAAAAAATACTTAAATAAATGACAAATTAGTTATTCAAAAATATATAGAATAAATTAATAATTAAATTTAATAATAATTAAAATATATTACTTGACACCTAATTTGTTATTTAATTTAATTACATATATAATTTAAATTTTTTTATAAAAATAATATTATTTAAATTTATTTACTTATAACACACGTAATAAATTGTTAGTGTAAAAAATGTTATAGTTAAAAGGATGAAAATGTAATTTGTCCTTTTTATTGTTGTCGGGGAGGTGATAGTGGATGCTTGCGTTAAACTTAATGTGTTCTATTACTTTTTTCTTATTAAACTGCTTAATGTGACTATTATTATGTGCTGGTTTAGACAGGTGGGACCCTTCTGGAATTTTCTGGGACCCTTCGGTCTTGTGCGTTCCTTTTTTTTTAATGTATACATTACTTGTATCGGTGTAACTTTTATACCTCTATTTGACCCGTAAATATTGGAAGTCCAATTATGCTTGAGCTATTAAATTGTTTATCAAATTTTATATTTTAAATTAATGGTTAAATTAATAAAATTTATTAATTCTATTAAATATTCAATACATAAGATTTTAACACATTATTTACAATATAAAATTTAATAAATAAATTTAAACAATACAATTTTATCCTTTTATTCCCATATATGGCCGCAAGCGAGGGCGGTCGAATGCACGAAATCCCCTTCTCTCCTTGTCAATGTCATTTTTCACTCTTTTTTTTTATTGTTCAATAAAAAATATAAAAATTTAGAGTGATCAAATATTTATGAAAGTCAGGGTTGTAAAATTATTTTTTTAAAAATTAAAAATTAATGGCTAGTTTTTTTTAAAAATTAGACGAGTGGTGATTAAGTAATGGGGTAGAGAGATAATTATATGAGAGATGTATTAAAATGTAATTGATTAAAATCATGTGTGATAAATAATTAAAAAATTTAAACAAAAAATTTAGCCGAGGACATGGGTAAGTGCATTGGTTAGTGGAGAAATTTAACTGGTACAGGTGTTAGTAATTGATTAGAGGACTTGATTTAAAAAATTCAAAATTTTGACANTGAGAGGTCTTCCTATGCCTTCTCTCCCTCTTTTTTTTTTGGGTTAATCTCATTTTGCATCTTGAAAGATTATTCGAATTTTAATTTATACCCTCAAAGATCAAAAATTTCAATTTACACCTTTAAAAATAAAAATTTATATCAATGTACACCCCCAAAGATCAAAAATCTCAATTTGCACCCTCAAAGATAGAAATTTGTATCAATGTGCACCTAAAACTAAATTGATAAATTATACCTAGATCCCCTCATGTTTGTCACTTAATCATTTGAACTCCTTTACATTTAAAATATTTCTCTTACATCTCATGACGTTTGTGCATGTGAAACACATAACCACTTATATAAATATCTACATTTTATTAGACATTCAAATGGTAAACTTGATTTTCAACTTTAGAGTATATCGAATCCACAAAATAAAAGGTAATATGAAATTATAATTTTTTATTAGGATAAAATCATATTTTTTAACGATTATATTAACAGATATCAACGAAAAGTGGTTATGTGTTTCACATGCACAAACGTCATGAGATGTAAGAGAAATATTTTAAATGTGAAGAGGTCTAAATGATTAAGTGACAAATATGAGGGGATCTAGGTATAATTTATCAATTTAGTTTTAGGTGCACATTGATACAAATTTCTATCTTTGAGGGTGCAAATTGAGATTTTTGATCTTTGGGGGTGTACATTGATATAAATTTTTATTTTTAAAGGTGTAAATTGAAATTTTTGATCTTTGAGGGTATAAATTAAAATTCGAATAATCTTTCAAGATGCAAAATGAGATTAACCCAAAAAAAAAAGAGGGAGAGAAGGCATAGGAAGACCTCTCAGCTGTAATTTGTTTGGTATAGTGGATTGATAGATAATATAGATATGTAGACATGGGCCAAAAAGTACATCCAGTTTCAGTGTCAGCCCAGCACGCTATATACAAAAGTACAGGCCCAATCTTCAAGGTAAGTGAGTTCAGTAAGTAGCTTAATGGGCTTCGTGAGATCATGGGCCAAAGGAGCGGGGCCCATAAAACAAGTTCACTATTATTGCCAAGCACTGGTTTTTGGTTCTAAAGTCGCCGTAGTTGCCGAGTCACAGTGGGAATACCGTTTCTACGAAGGCGCCGGTAAAACTACGGTGCTGAGATTTTTAATTTCTTACAAATTCATAGATTAAATATATATATTTTTTTCAATGGGCAGATAGTTCTGTGCTACTTCTGGATGTGTACTTCTGTTAATTTGTTTTATTAGGTTTTTAATCAATGTTGTATTTTCAATTTTGAAGAATATACAGGTAATAAGTTTAGTTTGATCATTATGCCATGAAAATGTTGTCGTCGAGCGTTCGTTTCAGGAATTCTTATTTTTGAATCTTTCTCTTTGTTAAGCTTCTTTGACATGGATTCTTGGAGGGTATGATTCATATGACATATTTACTCGTCTGTATGTTCATGGGACGATGTGGATCACTATTTGAATTTCTCAAGGGATGTGACTTTGTTACCTACTAGAATGTTAGTTTAAGGATTAGATGCCCCTATTTTAGCGGAAAGAATTAATTTCTATTACACTAACAAATCAATGGAGGTATTTTTGCCTGAGACTTTTAATGGCCTAAAAGGGTAGGAACTAAATGTCAATTCTTAGTCTCAATTAGGAAAAAAAATATTCATTGCAATGATGATACCAGCAAGGAGGGGAGTGTTGACAGAAATTTGAAAAGAGAGATAACTATTAAGTTGAGAACGAATCAAGTTATGGGTGGTGTAATTTCATTGAAAATAACAAATATTGATATGAGATAGGAATGCACTGATAGGGACTAGAAATGCTGTGGTGGAATTCAACAGGAGTTACTGGGAACTTTTAGAATGGTAATGTAGGTATGGTCACAACAGCTGATGTCATCATGTTCACCTATCTAATTTTCATGTTCTTCTCTCTTTCTTCTGTTCCAAGGTGTATGGTTGACTAGTTTCCATGAAGAATTATGTGTAAGCTATTTGTTTGTCGTTGTTTTTCTGCCGTGCGCCTCCTACATACACATAGACTTCTTTTTTGTTTCTTTTGATTTTATTAAAGCTCCATTGTTTTTGCCAGAGAAATGGAGTCCAAACATGAGGTTGCTGAAGAAGAAACGAGAGCGTTATTGGAAGTCGTTGCCTCCACTGGGAAATTCTGGTATGCTTCTTCCTTGGTATAAAATTTTATCTTGCGCTATTATGCAGGTAATTTATGAGATTCATTATGGAGTCAGGTGGTCATATACCCAATTCTTCTTTATGGTGCCTTATGTTTTTATTTTGATGTCCTTTGTGAGAAATTTTTTTGTGTGGAGTTCACTCAGCAAGGAGCCAGGCTGAATTATCTCACCCCCCCCCAAAAAAAAAAAATTCCCTCTTTCATTCGTACAAATTTTCCATTATTATTGATATTTCCAAAAGCAAGCCCATAAATGTTTTGGCTTAACGAGGCTTGATCTACCCAAGGTCAAGTTTTGAGATGATTGATTCTTTATTAGAGTGAGAGCATTCTCTTCGTGATCACATATTTTTCAGTTTCAAGTGAAATTTCGTTATTGTATATTGTATGGTCTAATGGTTTTATATAAGTCTCTTAAGTTCAAGGGTTTTCCACAATCTCAAAAAACTATTGCTGCGGGTACACACTTGTATATGCTAGCTTTGTTGCCATATCTTTGCTAGTTCTCTCTTCCCCATCTATATCTCATGGCTTGCCGTCAATGTGATGCAAACGCCATGGATTTATTCTGTTCTTTTTCTTGTTTTAAAGTATTCATAATGCATTTCTTGTTTCTTAGGCACCACTGGGATGTATTAAAGAGCTCGCTATCCTATCACCTGAAGCAGGTATTGGGAAATATGGCAACACATAGGCCTCTAGTTACTTAACAACAATCAGTTAGTAAACCTTCGATCCTCTCCAAGGCTATGGGGTATGAGTTCTTAAACTTGTTAAATGTTTTGACGTGAAGGTCCTGTCTGAGTATCCAGAGGCAAACATGACTCCCGAGCAACAAAATTCTTCATTAGGAGAGACGTACCCTGAGCTGGTGAAAAGATTGGATGAAGGTATTTTTGGTGCCATGTGACTTCTCTGCATTTAGTCGCTCTGTATGTTTCTTGATGGAATGCCCTAAATGTAGAAATTAAGTTTTACTACATGCCATTTACGAGCTATATCCTGATACATCCTATTTACTTTTCCGTTTGGGGGATCATTCTAATCCTCTATGGATATATTGAATGATGAATCTTTTAAAGGCAGATGCCATCTTTTATAATATTTAGAGTATTGTTAGTAGTGTGCATGCTATGAGGATATCTTGCATCTGTTGTTCAGCCTATGACAACTTGTTCCTTCCTTGGTACAATTTCAGAATCCAATTCTAGTTTCTAGGTAGGTGCCTGCTTAATTTTGTTCGATATTAATTTATGGCAATATGATGAAATTGATCTCGGTAGCAGAAGGCATTCGACAGATAAGAAAAGCTGTTTACACCTTCTCGCCTTGACTATGTGAAAATTATAATTTGTGCTTTATAATTATCATTTTTTTTTCCTGAGGATTGTTACTGATTTGAATCTGATTAAAATAATGACGCCATGATGGAGAACCTTGCTCTTGTTTTGCTGCTACCCTGGCTTTTTTAATCAACCCATGGTATCATATATATTCAGTTAATAGGTTGAAAGACTTGATCCCAGGCACTTGGGTTGACTTCAAATCCTCTTCTTTGGTCTTCATCTAGAGCCATATCTTCCATCAAATGCCCATGTATGGTGGGTGAACCATATTGCAAACAACTGTAGGCAGTACTATGTTGATATGTTTGTTAGTTGTGTCTTCTGTGTTCTATGAGATTATCCTGACTTGTATTCGAATTTGTTTCTCCAGTACAAAGTCTGTTTGGGTATTTTCCGGAACCATTCACATTTTGCTATTCCATGTTGCAGCTTTACTCAGTTTTGTAGAAGGTCCTCCATTTACCCTGCAGCGGTTTTGTGAGGTGATTGTACTTCTTAATTATGAGTATAATGAAGGGTTTGGGTGTAATTGTTGACAATAAGATTGGCATTCACATATTTGTCAAAGGGTATCCTCTTAACTTTGGTAATAGATTCAACATTACTCATATTTTTGCAAAAGATGATTCCTCTTTTTCTTTGTTCATTGTTTTTGCAAAGTGGTTTCTTCTCTTGGGGAGAGGTCATGTGGGAAATGGTACTATGTGATTGCTTTTGGATTGTTTTTGCTTACTATTTGAAATTATTTCTTAGGCTTAGCAGTATGAATGACTTTTGCAATTTAATTTTATCTTAACTTTATATTAAACAGATCCTATTGAATGCACAAAGCATTTACTCAAATCTCTCAAAGCTTGCTCTTGCACTAGAAAAGGTATGTTGGCCAGGCATTATAGTACTTAGAGCATTTAATTTTGAATTTTGGATTCTTTTTCTTGGGCACTAGAACTTTATGGATTCTGCTCAGAAACCTGGATAATGCTCGGTTTTCTTCGAATTATTTTGCCATCTATTGACAAAGTATTGCAAAAACAGACCAACATGTCTTTACTTGTGCATTAACGTATGTTCTTTGAGTGCCTTCTCAACCCCTTAACAAATGGTGCCAAAAGAGAGAAAAAAAGGGAAAAGGAAGAATAGGAAATTCCAAATTTGATATCATGTATGTCTTCAAATTTTAAAAAATTGATGACATCAGAAGATCATGTGCTTATACTTGCAGTTCACTGTCTCTTGCTTTTAGAATCTGTCAGTGACATCTACGTTGGCAATCTGCACTGATGCATGTTCACCAACGGTGACTGGAAAACTAGAGAAACCTGACAAGGGACATGAGAAACATCTGGTGCACTCTAATGCAATACAGATGGGATCGAAGCTGTGACAAGATACAAAAAGATAAAATAGCGTGCACCATGGAAGCGATTAAAGAAATAGTTGAATTATCTGAGTCAAATTATGTTCTTCCCTTGATTTTCAGATCTTTGAGGTGTTTTCTTTGTAAAGCAGTTAAGTTTTATGGAGTAGGCCCGATGTTTCCTCGTGAGAGACTCATGATGATCAATGCTTTTTGAAGCCATGTTCTTGGTCTGTTCTTTTTGTTGCTCTGGTTCCTTTAAAATTTGCAATGGTAAGGGGAAGTGTAACTGCTGCCTCCATTAAATCACCTTATTCAGTTTGGATGATTCTGGCCTCATTTAGTCACCTTGTTCTTGTGAATGACGTTTGTACATATGGTTGATTAAGATTGAGGATTTTTTGACTCTTCAGCCTTGAACTTTGGCCCCAATTCTGTGTTGCATAACAGGTTGACCAATCTTACTCAACCGCTTTGGCCCCAATGCAAGCTTTTAAAATGCCGGGGCTAACTCTACTGCAGTATCGGGCATTTTTAATTCTGTATACGTTTGACGGTAAGTCAAGGTTTTTTGTTCTCTTTGTATTGTGTGTGTGTGTTGTGTGTGTGAGAGAAAGAGAGAGATTGTAATCAAAAGGGTTCTAACCTTTGGAGTTTGTTCTGTTAGATGGTGATGCTACCAACCACAGTTCATATTTTTTCTTTTATCTGTCCTAGAATTCAAACAATTGCACTGAATATAAACCAGAAAAGCATTGGATGAACTTTATCCCCCACACAGCCTTGGAGCCAGCACAAAGCTAATAACTAATCTCTCGTCTTTTAGAATGGTGCTGGGAATGGTGTCACCTACTTTAAAACTCCAATTAATTCCACAATCAGCAAAATGCCATACAAAACGGTTACTTCAGCTGGACTTAACAGTTTTGTTACTGAAATAGAAAAGTACAACACTCAGAAGGTTCATCTACTGGAGATTGTTAACTGAGCTCACCAGGGTTGCAAGAATATTATTTGACAGTGCAGATAAAGAAGCCTTCTAAGTTGCTGAACCTTGAAGCGTCTCCAAAAGAAGCTCAATTCTGTGCTTCATGACAGGCTGACCAAACTTCGTTTTCTTGAGCATTTTCTCTCTTAAAACTTTTCTTCGAGATAAGGCTCTTTCCCTTTCTTCCTCTTTTGTTCGATTTATTGCCTCCCTCTCAATCCTTGCCTTCTCATCTTCAACCTGCTTCTTCTCATACAGTTCGTTCAGACTGCAAGAACTATTCTTCTGGTTCTTCTTGTGTGTCTGATTCATCTTTCCAGCTTCTCCATTTTCATTTTCATCCTGTATTATCACAATACACAACCAAAATGTCAACTGTTGATGACAAGTTAATTGCATTTTTTCAAATTGCAAAAATTATTTACAAGGATTGAATGGAAATCCTCATTCCAACTTCAATCTAATTGAAATGAAGAACAACCAACAACAGAAACAACTATCTGATAGGGCAAATAAAGACTCAAACCTGTAGCGGTCTTGTAGCCAAGGAAGAATCATCCTGTCCGGGTTGATGCTGCAGTGATTTCTTATACTTGCGCACATATTTGGCATTCTTATAGAACTCTCTTTGCTTCTCTGATTGAAAAAGAAAATTCATCAAAACAAAATTCTTACAAGTCATTAGAAAATAAATATTACATATAACTACCAGAAGCAGAAATACAAACATAATGGACAATCTCCCAATTGATCCATGGTGATTAACATGGACACTGTAAAATGAACGGCCCACTCAAGAAGCTCCTTCCGTCATTTCATCTTGCAACTGGTGATCAATGTTCTTAAAGCTCTGGCTCATCAAAAAAAGTTCACAAGACAGACTCAATTCTCCAACCTATTTCTTACAGTATGATTGTAATATATACGGGCAGCCCTATTTCGCACTTCCAAACTTGTATTATCACACTACACCCACTGTTCATATGAAGTTAATCACAACTGTATACAGACATGTTTGTATAATTATAGGTCTTCTCATTCAAATTGAATTCTGTATATCACAAACTCATCTGGAAATAGATGAACAACAGGGGCAGTACATCAGAAACACACCATATCAAATCAATCCGATACCCATAAAATTGCAGTGAAAAAACGTAATAAAACTTAAATTAAAGCAACCCTATAGTTTAGAGTATGAACGCATCTAACCATAGGTTACACTAAAGAATTATATAGATTAGAGAGGACTGTGAGAAAAGAAAGAGAGAGGATAAGGAATATACTGATAAAGGCAGGGTTGTAGTTGTCGTTCTTTGTTTTTGCATTAACGAAGGAATCGAGGGAAAGACCTCCACCACCCAACCTCTTCATGTTTTTCTTCTTCGTCTGCATAATCATAAACTTCTTGTTCTTGATTGGGTCTGATCCCTTGTTATTCTCTCTGCTATAATAAGAGCCATCCTTGGAGATTCTATTCTTCATTCCGAGAAAGCACACGGATTAACTGGATAGATCGATTTACCCCAAAGCCAAATCCGGAATAAGAGGTCTGATCGAGAGAGAAACCTGGATGAGATCGAGTGAGCCTGATCGGAGATGAAGCTTGAGACTGTGAGAGAGTTGAGAGAAACCAGCGGCTTCTGGAGAACAGGAGAGAGATCGCACTTTTAGGGCAAAATTGCCCCCAAATTGCCATTTTTATTGGATTCAAGTATGCCCGCCCGGTTTGAACGAGTTAATCCTAAACCGTCCGATTTTATCGGTTCGAACCAAAATATGAGAACCAGTCCTGTTTAGGGTCTGGGCCCCCGATTTTGAGAGTCCATTTATTGGGTCGGTCCGATTCTAATAACGCTAGAGTTTCTTGAAATAAAATATTTGGTAATACCATCATCGTTATATGGTCTCATTTAATCTAATATTATAGTTATAAAATTAAAATTTTAATTNCTGTTTAGGGTCTGGGCCCCCGATTTTGAGAGTCCATTTATTGGGTCGGTCCGATTTTAATAACGCTAGAGTTTCTTCAAATAAAATATTTGGTAATACCATCATCGTTATATGATCTCATTTAATCTAATATTATAGTTATAAAATTAAATTTTTAACTTATAAAAATACAACAACGATTAATATTAATTTAATTTTTATGTATTTTAATCCAATGAGATAAAATTCATCTAAAATAATTGTTTTGACTCAAAACCATCATTTTCTCTACACGATTTTTAATGCCAGACAATCTCACTAATTCATAGTTACATCTCTTTGCTCTCCTCTACCTTACTCTTAAAGAAAAATAAAAAATAAAATTTTTATTATTTAAAATATAAATATTATACGATTAATGTTCAATTTTTTATATTACATAGTGCCTTCATAAAAATGTTATTGCTAGCCATCTATTATCTAATAACTACTTTGTTTTTTTTTCTTCTTTACTCTTTTTTTGCTGAATGGTTATGTCGATCTTAAAATTGATAATGTCTATGTTAGGCTCGAGTCACGTCTAAATCGGGTTAAGTGAAAATCTGTTTAAGGTATACCAACTTGTTTATTTTGGTGTATAGCCTATTAAACAATCACTTTGCTCTATAAAGTAAAAGAATTGAAGTATTATGGCTATCAATAAATCCCAGCAAGAAGCCTATAGATTAGTATTATTGCTTAAGTAAGGTATATCCTTTATTAATTGTTAATGTTATATCATTCACCATATTATATATTTACTTGAACCCTCAAAGTATTATTGCTTCTCTTTCTTCATATCATTGCAAGTACAACAATATCATCTTCCCAACCCCCCCCCCCCCCCCCCCCCCC